ACTTTACTCACAATTAATGTAATTTTACATGGATTTCTCATTTTTATTTTATTACTTGGTAATTCAAAATGCTGCGATTGGCACCAGTGATGATAATTAGCACACTTTTGATTGTCATATTTGTTCGCGCGTTTGAATTTAGATCATAAGCTACAAATTATATTAGAGCTTGAAAAATTACGTGATAAAATTTCTGAATTTTAATATTATTATTATTATTACAAATCACGGCAATGTATGCCCCTAATTAACGCCAAGATCATGCAAAATACGCTATTTACCTGCCAGAAAGGTATAATTTTGTTTTCTTTTTAGCATATGAAAAACTCTGACATATAGTTATCAAGATAGACAAACGGTCAAACACTGGATGTAATATAAAGTCCTATGCGTCACGCGTTGCTATAAAAAAAACACACACACTTCTGCTCTCTGACTCGGATTCCGGCTTTGGGTTGTCGCACTGAGAACCGCGTTTATTAATTTATACGTTTTCTGGACATATTGTAAAAATTGGAATTATTCTCTTATTCTTATGCTGGAAAAAATGTTAACCCAATTAATCATCTAAATACTAAAAAACCTATTAAAAGGCCCGCAGTTTATTATTTTTTAAGACAATTGCCTGAACGAGAAAAAGCAGCGAGAACGCACAAATATCAGCACCGTTTTTTTCAGCGACTACAACAACTACAAATATTAGCCTGGATCGAGCATGTATGGCACAAAATAAAGTTTCCGCGAAGAACATCTCTAACTAAATAATTACGATGTGAGACAGATGTTGAGTTATTAAAGAATCAGAAATTAAGTTCTATATCGAGAAATTAAATCCAAAATAGAGGTTAGTTTCGGCTTCGCTCGATAATTAAAACGCGCATCCTTGCGTAAATATTACGCTGAACAGCATTCTTGTTTTCAGAGTAAAGAGGTGACCTGCGCTCATAACATTCTAGCTTCCTCGTATTACCAGAAATAATTTCTGTCGCCCAGTGAAGCCAGGACACTAGACAGGCTCAACCGCGGCACGCATCTCCAACCCTCACTATAACCGCCATTTCGAAAAATGAGTGGCGCCACCTATAGTTAGTTGGAGTCGCGAATAGGTTCGCTTGTAGGCTGAGCTATGGCTCTAGTGTTGGTCTCTACTTGACCAGAAAGCTGGAAAACTTGAGTCTCCATCACGGGAAAGAAACGACATGCTTTCTTCGCCGTGTAACAAGAAAATATAAGAAAAATGCCACGTAAAACCGTCAGAAGGCACTGAAGTTCTACAATCGTTCTTGGAACTGGACGGCATCTGGCCTTTTGCCCCGTAACGCCCCGTATTTGGAACTCACAGCGACTTCCATTCCTTCCCCGCACAAAACGCAAACAAGCAAAAATAGGAGGGGAGTCTGACTCCCCACCGTCCTCTGTGCACACGAAGTTGTAGTGGCTACTGTTTTTATTTAAAGAAAAAGACGCGAAAGAGAGCTATGAGTTCAACTTCGAGCTTGTTCTCAGGGTGCTGCTTACGTATTTATTCACGTCCTTCCGCTTCTGAAATCTGAGCGCGGGCTGGGACTGGATCGCACAAACTTCCCGATAATGATCTAAGAAAAAAGAAACAGCAGACGCAGCAGACCCACGCCACAGTTCCAGTTTGGGAGATCCGTGTCATGTGACATTTTTATGGGCCATTACTCTTCTATTCTTCTTTCGCCCTACTCCGAATCAAGTGCCCAAGGCTCAGAAGGGGCTTCTCTTTCTGAGAAAAAGCGACCGAAACACGGCGTTTTTGCATTGTGTAAGCGACCCTTCGTTTGTCTTATGAAACCTCTCTAGTTTTGTGAAGACTCCCGTTTTCTTTCTTTCTCTATTTCTGTCGGGGCCCTCCTCTTGTTATCGTGCTGAAGGGACAGCGGAGTTGACTCCCCCAACTCCCCCCTCTGTTTCCCACTTTCCACCTTCTTTTTTTTCTTTTCCGAGTTCCCCTCACAAGCTTTTGACTTCAGTCTATGTGCCCGCGCTCCTCCCCCCCCCCCCCCCCTCTCTTCTTTCCGCCCCAACTACTAAAAAAGTAATGGAATTACGTTAGAAATTACATTTCTAGAAAAGTAACAGATTAATTACAAAATTGCTCAAAAAGTAATTAATTACAAGTAATCCCGTTACTTGTAACGGATTACTTCCAAGTCTGCCCCCCTCTTCTCCTTTCCCATGGCCGCAGCATGCTACGGGCAAAGGAGAAGAAAACCCCAAAGGCACATGTACAAAACAAAGCACTGGCGTGAGCAGTGGCGTAGACAGGGGGTTATTGTGGGGGGAGGAAACACCCCCCAAAATGCCAAAGCTACCCCCCCCCCCCACCTCTTCCCCCCGGGGCCCGCTCGCTCCACTCCTTACCATAGGTCAGCATTTTAGAGCCCCTTCATTCACCATCACATCACAAACAAAATCACGTCTCCAGATTCATTCGCATTCACGTCACAAGGTACTCCGACCTCCCAAAGTCACGGCCCTTCACATCCCGGCCTTCAACCGCGCCAAAACTTCATCCCCTTCACATCACGGCTTTCAAACTCCACCGAGAATTCAACCCCTTCACATCACGGCGTTCAACCGCGCCAATAATTCATACCCATCACATCACCGCCGCCTCCGAATTCACGGAGTCATTCACCATCACATCACCAATTCCCGAAGTCATTCACCTCCATCACCACGAATTCATCGGAATTCACCTTCGTGAAATCATCGAAATTCACCATCACATCATGAATTCATCCGAATTCACCATCACTTCACGAATTCTTCCGAACTCATCATCACATCATGAATTCATCAGAATTCACCATCACTTCACGAAGTTATTCACCATCACGGTCAACACGAATTCACCGGAATCCACTATCACGTCATGAATTCCGCATAATTCACGAAGTCATTCAGGTTCATTTTGACTAAATTCGACTTCACGGCTGGTAGCCCTTCACGAGTTCACAGTTCTTCCGGAATAGGACTGTGGCGCCTTTTTGTGTCAGCCACTTAAAACCAGGCCCTGACTCCGCCGGGGAAGTAGGGTATTTCGACTGCGCGAAACGCAAAGCACATTGATAGAGCGCCAACCCAGCCAATGCCGCGCTGCGATCGTGTCACGTGAATGTGCTCCGTGCGCCGCTGCGCGGAACCGGCAGGTTACGTGATATTGTCTCGGCGCTGGATTAGGTGCGCTGCTCGTGACGTCGGCTTCGTCCCTTTTGAAACCATATTTGGCTGCGCCGCATAGACGAAGCGGCGCTTGCTGCTACTAGTGCCCGAGGACAAGCGCGGCTGCGCCACGCACGACCCACGAGGGGAGCGGCACAGCGAGAGCCTTTAGGGATTCCGGATCATAAGCCCCGGAAGGACAAGGTCGGCAAGGAGCTCAATTGATTCACAAGGAACCGCTCAGAACAACGGCAAAATTAAATGTCAAGTGCCAAAGAAAACGACCAGCCCCCCTCCCCCCTCCCCTTCATTGCTGCCACCACACTTCCCTTATAAACAGGTGTTACTACGGAAGTGCTCGACAAAGGACCACCGCGCTGAGGCGCGCACGGCTACGCAGCGAGACTGATGCCCAAACCGCTAAAGTCAAATGGGTTCCTGCGGTTTGCGGTGAAGGATGAAAACAACCAGCAAGCAAGCAAGCACCTGCGTAACATGTTTTCCGCCTATTCTGAATTCATAAACGTATTCACTATCACGTAGAGAATTAAGCTCACGGTATTACTTCCCATCACGAACGTATCAAGTTCACGAGCCACGCACATCACAAATTCATCGTTTTCACGAGCCATTCACCATCACGCCACGAATTCATTGAGTCATTCAGTTCACGAAGTCCTTCACAATCGCAACACATCATCAGTTCATTCAAATTCACAAAGTCATTCACCATCACATCACGACTTCATTCACCATCACATCATGAATTCATTCAAATTCACGAAGTCATTCACCATCACCATCACGACTTCACAACTTCATTCACCATCACTTCGCGAATTCATTCAAATGCACGAAGTCATTCACCATCACATCACGAATTCATTCAAATTCACAAAGTAATTCACAATCACATCATGATTTTTTTCGAATTCAAGAATTCATTCAGAGCCATTCAGATTCACGCCGAGAATGTGAATGAAGGTGAATGAGCGAGTTCATGAATGAATTTGCCGAGGTATGCTCCTTACGCAGACGGAGCGAAGGGGGAACGCCGACTATCTCCAACTCGTAGCTACGCCGATTTGTTCCGTTGGGCTTTTTGGAAGAATCCCGCTATGTGTAGAAGACGCTCTGTTTTGGGAGAATTTTACTGAGTTTCACCCGAATGCCTGTGATTCCTTACTGCACAGGACTGTGGTGTTCTCGGAAGTCACTGTTCCTCCCTATGTTTTTTTTTTTTTTTTGCCAGCTGGGCGCGGCTGATCGCAACTGACCGAGTGGAGACCTTATTCTTTTTTGTGTTTATTGCTGAAGGATTCTAGGAAACAAAAGTGCGTGGATTTTATTTTAGGATAGCTTTTGGTTTCTCCGTTTGTTAGAAAAGCTGTTTCGCGACGTCATTCGATCCCCCGTACCCAAGAGAGCTGGGGAAGGGAGGGGGGGAGGGGGGGGGGGAGGCACTCTGTCTTGGGGGGAGGTGGGGGGGAGCGGGGCAAGCGCCCCTTTTGCACCCCCCTGCCGACGCCCATGTTTCGGACCCTGCTTTGTGCGTCGCAGACTTACCTAGAAGTCGCTATTGTTCCTCTGAATATTATAGGAGATTAACCCTTCACTCAAAATTTGCTCAAAACCAGCTTCCCCCTCTCTGTCTGCAGTTGTGGTGCGAAATGTATGATGTGACGTCAGTGCAAGGCATGTATAGATCTCCAAAACGCACGAATCGCATTCGCCTTGCCATAAATCATTTACTGCGAACTGTAGTCACTACATGCATTTTGCAAATTGTCTTCGTTTTCTACTTGCAGATAGCCCATTGCGGAGATGGAACACTAACTGTTCCCGGATGAGCACAGTACAAGGGCTGCATGGAGAGTTTTTGAACGATGATGCTATCAAAGAGGTGTTTCTAATGTAAGCAGCCTTTTTTACCAGGTGATCATTGTTTTAAGTTTAGTGGCGTACCAACTTGTTTGGTACGCCACTGAACTTAAGTGCTGGGGGGGGGGGGGGGGGGCAAACCACACCTCCCCCTCTGCTGCCCCCTCCCCCCAAGGCCGGGGGGCGGTGCTTTTGGTATCCCTTGGGCGCCGTCGGCCAGTGTTTTTCCCTGCCCACAGGCGGCTGTTTCAGGTGGGGACAAAACACATGCCTTCCCCCCCCCCCCCCCCCCCCCCTCTGAAAACTGGGGGGCAAGCGCCCCCTTTGCCCCCCCGGTTGGTACGCCCATGTTTAAGTTGATCCCCAAGAAAACTAACAAGCTGATAACTTCGATGCATGAGCAGCTTGTCCGGCAGCAGTTCAAATATTTGGAAACTAACAACTCAACTTAGAGCTACAGAGGAGCAGAGCTGTGGTCAAAGCATTGTTCAGCGCAGTGAGAACGGCCAGGATAAAGTTAAGGCCCCCTTGCCGGGAACTTTCCAGCCAAAGTGCAATGACTATCATTCGACACGTGACAGATGAGAACTTGATATATGAGACACACCAGCATTTAGATTCATTACGGCTCCGAACTTCACCATTCTCAATCAATTTGGGGAAATACCACTTCGTAATATTTCCCCAAACTATCAATCTTACACAACTCACCTTTTCTACAGACCAGAAATTGCAGAAGCCTCTGTAGCTAGCCATACATTTTTATTATTAGAAGCCTGGGTATGCCGGTCTCTCATTGACAAACCACACTTCTTTTTACAGGTACAATGGTGAGGGAATCCATAGTACACGGACTGAAGACCAAGAGAACTACAGGGTAGTGGCTGGCAAGATTGAACCAGTAATGTCTTTGGCAACGCTGTCTAATCAGCTTTCATCCCGGCTCTTCCTCAGCAAGAGCTAAACCCTTGTGGAGAATGGGAACAGCCTTGTCTGTAACAGAAATGCAATAATTTAAGATCATTAAGCACCTTCACCATATTCATTAATAAAAAGAATTGAAATAAAGCCAAAGGCAATCATATTTATTTATCAGAAAGTGGCATTTCTTTGTTGACTTCTGTAGCCAAAAGCTGGAGTACTTGTGCTGCCTTGAATCTGCACATTTCGTAAGAGTCCTTTTCCACCACAAACTGCAACCATTGGCGAATTTCAAGGAGTTCGTGCTCTGCAGTTGACAGCAAGCTGCTTGCAGGAACATTCACCAAGATCATAGACAGGGCAAAAAGGATGGCATCACGGACACAGGCTTCGGTGTGGTACCTCAGCGCCGACAAGAACTCGAGTAGACAGCTTGCCATGTGGCAGCTCTTTGGGGAATGGATTGCAGAGTTTTGCACAATACCCAGCGTACAGATGAGCCGTGCCAACACGAAGCTGTCTTCACCCAACAGGTCAAAGGTATTTTCTTTCCTGTCGTAATATCTCATCAAGGGATAGAAAAAATAACCAGCCACATCAGCAAATCGACTTTTGGTGGGCACGACTTCATTTTTCTTCCCTTTACTGATGCGCTTCGTTTTAGCATTGATTCGTTCCATAACCACAGTCTTCCAGTGGGCATCAGTAATGCTTGAAACACTCTCTTGTTGCCTGACTTTTGTGGTTCTTGTCAATGGCTTTGAAAGTTTGTCGCTGGCCAAAGCCAAAACTTCAAGGATGTCAAGTCTCTGACGAATGTTTAGATTTGACTGGTAAAATTGTTCAGTCAGGTATGTGGCCACGAGCTTGGGAGAGTTCTCGGCCAACGACACGAGTGCTTGCTGCCTGAGAGACAGAAAGTCAGGAATACTGTATTTATCCTCCAGGTAGAGAAGGACCTTGCAGAGTTCACCTGCAACATCCTCTAGTTCATCTTCACAGTTCTTAATCAGACCTTCAGCACTTTTTAAACATGATTCCGTCCAGTCTCTATCCTCTTGTTCGAGGAGTCCCTCCATGCAGTCCCGCAAGTAGAGGGGCATCTTAACACCACTGGGTTTGTCGTGCGACATGTCATATGCCTCGAGGTCGTCGTCACTGTCTAGATCCAGATTTGGAGGTCCATTAGATGTGTCACTTTCTAGCTGAGCTTCAGCTTTCGATAGTTCCGTGCCAACAGCTTTATTTTCTTGTTCCCGGGGACTTGGAGAGACATCCATGAGTGAAAGCAGATGTTGCACATTTTCATCATTTGGGCATTCAAAATTCAACTTTGGTCCCTCCGGTTGAAGAACCTTGCTAAGCTGTTCAGCAACAACCATTCCATATGTCCGAACCCATTCTTCTGGAGACTCTATATGGCTCTGCACACCGTGAAGCAGCTTGGGCATTAAGGCATCCCTTTCAGTATTAGTGCAGTGATGCAACTTCAAGTGTCCCGTGCAGATCATCAGAGCACTAGTCAGGTATTTCTGTTGCTGCTCACTCTGATGTTTTATGAATGTCTTGTCCCCCCACACACTGAGAAGCTCCCTCGTGAGGTCCAGGAACATTTCCCGCCTCCTGTCGGAGGATGCGAGGTAACCTATAAGATTCCGTAAAATCTTGTCATTGCTGAAGGTCCTGACAAGCGGTAGCTTAACCGTGAGAGTGTACTTGAGCTTGCTGGAAGTGCTCACTGAATCAGCTAAGAACCAGTCGACTTGAGCGAAATCCTCGAGGGCCGTAAGCAAAGTGGTGACCACACTCTCGATGCTGTTGTCGGGAACGGTCGTGATCACCTTGCAGCACACCCGACGAAACAGGAAGTCGTCCACGCAGCGTCGCACCAGCTCCGGCAGCAAGAGGTTGGCGATCTGCCCAGACTGACCCACCAGACATATCCGCCCGAGCAGTCTGCTGAGGAAGGTTACGTGGACGTCAACACCCTTACTGAGATGCTCCGCCGCGTAATCGAAGGCGTGAAGCATACCATCAATCACAGTCGCGAAGTAAGCCTCAGTCGTCAGAGTCTTGGGCACGTCCCTTTTGTTGATGTTTGCGAGGCGCTCCGGTAGGGAAACCAGCAGCGTTTCAAGCATGGCCCACGAAACTTCATCAGTAGTCTTCAAGTGGCGACTACAACGCCTCTTTAACAGCTCTTCCAAGTAACGACCGCGGAGGAACTTGTCAAGCAGACCGACGAGCTTGTCTCGCTTGTAACTCTTGTCGCAGCGCTGAAAGGCGGTCGCCAAAACCACGAAAACGTCCTCGGGTGAGCCTCGTAGTATCGTAGCGTCGTACAATTCTTCTTCGTCCCGGTTTTTCAGAGCACTGGCACTCAGACTGTCGAGCAGGGCCGCTATGAAATGGCAATACAGGGATGAGTCCTCACTCCTGACGATACCTGGGGCCGAAGAACGGAGGATTCTCTCGATATCATCGATTTGCTGTTCGAAAGATGTCTGAGACAAAAGTCTACGAGAGAGTTCGATACCTCTCGACGCGACAAATTCAGAGGCAGCCATTGTTTACGTTGTCGGCGTTGGATGGCTTGCCGTCGACGAGCACACCATAAAGTCGGTCGTGGTAGAACGAACTTACCACTACGTGCAATTGGGTTCATTCACACTGCACTGAAACAAGCTCTTCGGACAAACCGCGCTACCAAATCATGTCGTCGCACCAGCCACGTAACAACCATGAACACAACACAAACACTGCGCGAGAAGTACGCAAGAAGTACGCTTCGCGTGAATACGCCCAGATGGCGCCACAAGCCTCGCGGCTAGCGCCACCCGCGGCGAAGAACTGAAATGAAGCTCAGATGGGCGCGAGCGTCTTTGAGATGTGGTGCGCACATTGTCTCGTCGCGTCGGTGAGTTGTACGGAGTGATGTTTTCGTCGGTGATTTTGTGCGTCATCCTCTGAAAGTGTCAAGTGCGTGTGTGTGTGCTTCTGGTGTGTTGTCAGTGACGCGGACGTCGGATCGTCAGCGATGGAAGCATTCAACGACTTGCAGCGAAACTGGGCCAAGCGTTTTCCGCACTCAAAACTTTCGCTGATATGGGAAGAGGACGTACGCACCCTGCTCTCGACTCATCGGCAACGCGTGGCGCAGTTGAGGGAGGAGCTCGAGCAGGAGGAGTTCCTCGTGCAGTACTTCGAGCGGTACCTGTCCGATGCCAAGCGATCCACGTCCCGAGACAAGGCGAACAACAACAGCCACAACTTCGCCGACACAAACGCCGGTCTCGAAAATGGCGACAGCGCGAGCCGCAACCGCAACAGCAACGGCGTCGACGGAACATGTTCCAACGGACTGTCGGACGCTTGCGCGACGTCATCGCCAGGTGACAAGCCGCCGGACTCGAACTACGGTAAAGTTCGGTCAGCACAAAGTGAACTCGCAGCGTCCCAAAACAAAGCGGCGCCGCAGCCGCCCACGAACGGAGACACGGACGAACACGGCAAGCCGTACGTCACCGTGATCGCCGTGAGCGGATTCACGCGATCTGCGGCTTCAAACGCCGAGTCGGTTTCTTCGACTCCAAAGACCGATTCCGCGTCTTTCGAAGGACTCGACGCTCACGAGCTCTTGCTCCAGGCGCGGCGTCGTCGGAAGCCCCCGACGCCGCCGCCCAAGCGAGCCAAGTGGCCGCCTCCGGCGCAGGTCAACCAGCTCGCCCAAAAGGAGCCTTCCTCGCCGACATCGGAACCGGTCGCTGCCCCCGCCGTTCAAAACCAACCTTCTCCCGGTACATGCGAGCCTAATTCGACAAAGAATTCAGCGACGGAGCCTCAGCCAGCGTTCAGCACGTTCAAGCCTCCGGCGGGCGCCGGCGGCGCGCTGCCGAATTTTCCGCCGTCGTACCAGGAGTCCGTCGGCACGCGGGAAGGACTAGGCGAAACGCCCGCAACCAACGACGCCGCGGACGACCAGGACGGCTGCGACGTCATCTACGATACGGTCGCCTTCGACGACGAGGGGTCGTCCTCGAAGGGTGCGGATGACGAAGACCACGACGTCGGAATAAGTCCCGAGCCGGACTACGTAGAGTTCGGCAAGTTCGAGCGCCGCGGTTCATCGGGGCCCTTCTTGGACGAGGACCGCCGACCGCCTCTGGTCTCCGGTTCGGCGACCACGACGTCTTCCTCGTCTGCGACCTACGAGAACATCACGCTGCTCAAGGCGTCCGAGTCGATGGATTCTGAGGAAGACGACGGTGCTTCGATCCTGCGGTCCATGTCCAGTGACACCGAGCTCGATCACGACGCCGGTACGGCGACCACAGGTAGCGATCACAGCGGCGCGGGTTCTGGCGGACGTGCCGATCGCGGCAAGGCGGAGGAACTGCTCGACGTCGATTCCGGTGAGTGTCTTGCTCTCGTTCAATGCGCGGCGGTCGACCACGGGCATTACATTCCGCTCGGAGGGAAGGAGGCGTTGTCCCTTTACCACGGGTTGGTAGTCTAGTGCACCCAACAACAACGTTTGTGGTTAGTGTCTGGTCACCAGTTTATCTACGGCCTGATAGGAGACCAGGACCTGGATGCGCATTTTGGATGCTACCGATGACCATCTGTGAATCGAGGTGCTCTGGCAGTTGGACTCAGCTGGATACAGCCGCGCGCCCCATCAAGGAGGGCTGTATTATTCGGACAGTGAACAGACCCAGCAGGACATACAAAGAACTCGTAAGGCGCACCGAGACAAAGTTCTGCTTTGCCCCTCTATTCTATAATTTAGTCATTTTTAAATAGTACTTCGTACACAACTTTCGACGTTAGAGAGACTCCTGTTTTGAGAGCTGCTTACATATATGTGTGAGGCTGTCTTCATCAGCTGTCGGTTAGGTGCAGAGTCACTGTATGGGTTCCCAGAGTAACGAAACTCCGCAGGTTCATTCTAGAACCGCGGCGCTGACACCGAAACTTTGGCGCCGCCATCTTGGGTCCTAGCGTCGACGGGGGTGTGAAGGCAATAGTGACATGCATTGGAGCGTGTTGAAAAAGCTGGTTCATTCCGCGAACCAGCTGTAATCGGCACTCAGCTCACAAAGCTTGCTTGTTGCATGGGTTCGAAATCGTTTCGTTTAATTATGGCCAGCCAAGCCGCCTTCCAAGCGGGATTCGGGAGAGTCTTTCCATCCTCCGACCTGCTGCTGCACCCAAAAGCGCAACAAGCAGGCATTGTGCCACTGAGTACACAACCTCCTTGGTTTTGACATCGGTAACCGCGTGAAAAAGATGGCGCATAAACGCGCGTTCGATAAGCAGTCGTTTGCTGGACCCAAGATAGTGGCAATTAAAGCCGCTTAAAGCGCTGATGGAGGTGAGTCTAGTCTTTCTTTGCACTGCGGAGTGAATATAGATTTCACATTTAAATATTCTAAGCTTAAATGGTAAAAAACAAAATGGCTAGGTGGCGTAAGCTACCGCCCGATCCAAAGGGCTTAGCCGTATTCATCCATCCATCCTAGCGGTGCTTGTGTCATGCGATCGCTACCGTCCAATGATGCTCACCAAGTCAAAACATGATCGGCTAGATTGAGTATGTTGTCGGCTAAACGAAAAGAAAGAAATGGAATGCGTTACTCTGGGAACCCGTACAGTGACTCTAGTTAGGTGCATTTTCCGTTAGTTATAATTTGCTTTTCAGTTCAAGACACAGCTAGCTGCTCTGGGGATTTTTTTGTCACCCCGGAAAACGGCGGCTGTTTAGCTTCCCTGCATTTCACGCCGAGAACGTAATACAACATTCTCCAAAGGGGAAAAAAAAAAAAAATAAAAGAAACGCACCGAATGACAGGCCGACATATTGTTTTGTTCGACGCACACTGCAATCTCCGGTCGGTCGCTGAATATGATTCTTCTCATTCTGATTATCAAAATTCAAATCAGTTTCTTTAGTTTTTCTATTTCCTTTTTGTACTCGGACATCGTGCTTCTCGCAGACAAGCGATTGCACTGTTTATGCACAGGACCAGCACTTCTAAGGCTTGCGCAGAGCTCGGCGGTTAGCCAATCGCCACCGTGACCTAGGAAACGCGCGAAAAAAAAAAGCAATGTTCAGACGATGTTTGTTTAAAAAGGAAAACGGGTTCTGCTCTGGATTCTGAAAATTGAAACGTCAAGCTCTGTCTCGCAGCATGCAGATAGCATGGCTGCACGGAGTTTCCCGATGATTGAGTATCAGAATCCTCTGCTAGTAAGTAGGCATAGGTGGTGTTCATATTCAGTATGGTGAATGTGCCCATAGCGGAGTATCATGATGATCGTCATTCTTGGTTACTTGTTATCTGAAGCTCAGGCTTCTGTCTCGTAGCTAGGGAACTGCGGAATTTTATCAGTATCTACTTCAAAGTTGGAAAACGCGTCTAGACCTATACCTTTGCAAGACATTTCTCACGTTCGTTTTCTATTTTTTTTTCTCTCATATATATCCGCGCTCTTGGAGTGGTCTCTCGCCGATGCGTCAGCGGCTGCTGCGTCTCTTTTATGCGCCGAATCTCGCCATTGCGGGTCTGCCTTCTGTAAAACGAGACTGCTCGACTTTTGTTCGCGGAAAACACCGATGCTTCGTAATATTACGCCTGTCGGGATATGCAAGCCGAGGCGAAGCTGCTCGGGGGAATCAGCTTTCAAGCACATACACACACATATAAGGACATATACCGATAATTGGAAGAAGGTACTCTCTGTGCTAGAATGTACTGCAGTGGCAGAATTCCCCCTCTAGGGAGTCGAACCCTTATAACCCTGTCTTGAGCACACAAAGTGAAGGAGAATGTTGCGTACACAATGTAAGGAAATATGGCGGAAGTGCTTGTTTCATACGGCGCCTCTTTTGCTCCGGTATACGGACTGCAACAAATACAAACAGTCGCTTTTTTTTTTTTAGCATTTGAAGGTTTTTTTATGAACTGCTTGTGTGGGTGAAAGCACATTATCCTCAGCGTTAAAATTCGGTGTTCGCTAATACCTTGTCTAGGAAGTAAAATGTGAAAAGACAAACAAGTACCGATGTCGTGCTCGCCAACTGTGCGGCGCAGTTTACGTGTAGCACCCCAAATATGGGTGTAAATGTTGCACCATCGGGGATTCAAAAGCACTCCCTCAGTCCAATGTTACTCTACGTCATCGCAGGATCGAAACGCGACGCAGGACGTTGACGGTCGCGACAACGTGTTTGTAGTCGTGGACATTTTGTCGCAGTAGATAAAACATGCGTGCAGGACGAAATCTAACTACCGAGGGCAAGTCGTCATGTTAGGAGTACGTCGTTCAGCTTCTATGAATCATTGAATCCAGACTTCTTGTTTTGTTACTACCAAACTTGTGGTCGTTTAATTAAAATCGAACTTTAGAGCGAAACGATCGCGATGCCATCAATGAGTGCGCATGACTTGCCTTTGAAGAAGGGGTTTACTGACGAAAGAGAGGGGGCTAACAACTTCACCAGTTAAAAAAAAAAAAAAAATGTTTGTGAATATTGGTTTGAATCGAATAACGCAATATCATCGCCAGTTTTAACGCTGTTAAGAAAATGGATTGCCGTGGCTTTGTCTTCCACTGCGAAGGTTATGATTCATGAATAACGCAGTGCTATTCACAACGAACCGGTATTCGCACGCCCATTTATTTTTTTATGTGAAGGCAGGAACGTGAATTTAGTGTAATGTACAACGGTGATAGAACATTAGTACTAGCCACATCGCATAACTTCATTCGTTATTTTTTTTCATTCGATAGGTGAAAAATTGCTTGGAACCGTGAAAGGTGTCTTCACCATTAATATTAACCCTGCAGTTGATTTTCGTGCTATACGTCAGAAATAAATGCGAACTCAATGTCAAATAGTCGTTCTAAATTTCGCCGTCCATTTTTCAAACGGGTCCCCAAATGATACGCGGCGTGTGCCAACCCAGATATAACTGACGAGGGTACGGAGGCTTTTTAGCTTACCCAGTGCAACGAAGCGAAGCTGAGAGGCGTCATTAAACTCTTCAAACATGCCGGTCTCGGCAGAGCACATTGCAAGCACGCAATTTGTTGCGCAAGTTGGAGGGTAACGCGAAACGGTTCGCATGCCTCGCTCTTCAACGGCAAAAAAAAAAAAAAAAGGAAAGAAAGAAAGATCTATTGCTTTCTTTTTTAGCTTTTTATTCTAATTATAGCTGCTAGATGATGTTGTTGAAGGTCGAGGTCATAACGTATAAAAGGCAACTTACAAAAAAAAAAAAAGTGGGTATATTTGTTTAGTAATTTTGTACAGCAGGACCTTCATGATGAACATTACTCGAATAATATTCGGCTAAAATTTCTTACAGGCAAAACCATCTGCGGTATTCTGGAAACTGTCACCTTTCTTGACGTGAAAAAAAAAAAAAAAAAAAAAAAACAGATTTTTTTTTTTTGGCTGGCCGGCTTTTACCTTTCATTTCGTTTATAATGGCCGTCGTCACTGGTTGCATGCGCAGCCGAGATTTTTGTGTGCCCTGCCTCGCTTATGCATCGTCAAATATGATTTCGCGTTTTTTTTTTAATTTTATGTACTTTTTCCTCTCTCTGTATCTTTTGTTCAGCTCGTGGAATGCATCAAAGTGATGCCAGCGTCTTCGATTTGATTTTTCCCAGCGCTCTCTTCGGAGCTTCTGCTTACTCCGCCCGCCAATGTACAAAATCGTGAAGAACACGGCCGACTTCTCATTTGCTGGATGGTGGCGGTGAACGCCGAGCTGACGTACTGCACCCTGTTGCGGAGAACGGGCTGACAGCTTCAATATACACTAAAACGTGGCCAAGCGCGATTTTTTTCTTTACTGGAGAGTATATGATAAAAATGATAAAGGCCAACCGCGAAGGGACCACTTCCTTTTTGTGGGTCACCACGCTCACCGTGTCCGTCTTGAGATTTTTACGATTCTTGTCTCTAAATTGATACCAGTTGCCGAGATGCAGGAAACTCATGAGAGGCGCTGTGCTATGGCTGTGCTCAGAGCCGTATATGTAGAGAGTTTGACCATTCGTTGGGAAGTATAGGAGACAAATGAGGAGGCGCCGTTGACCGAAAGCGGGCTGGGCGTGTTCCAGGGCGTCTTCACAAATTCGAATGTGGCCAATCAGAAGCTGGAAATATTACCCTGGTGGTGGTCGCGAGAACCAAACTTAATAAGTGCGTCGGAGTGGCTCTCGTTGTTTGAAAATACAGTGCACGTGATGTTTCAATCACGGTCATCCAAAATCATGATGGAAGAGTGCGACTAGCGAAACCATCGACATAATCCGTGCGCCGAGGGCCGGGAATCTGCCGTCCGAGCGGTCACTCTCTGTCGGAGCAAAACAGAGTTCGAGCGGCGCATTCGTTTCT